GTTACACTATACTTTTCTTTCACCAGAAGGACTCTGTTCAGCAGCTAATTATGCTCAGTGATCATCAAATCATGAAATATGATATGACAATGATAGAATCTACTGTGCAAACACAGTATTTTCTAGTGTTGCTTTACTCCTAACACACACATATAACATACCTTTATTATATATAATGTAGAGATTCAGACTGGGAGAACCCCACACATTTTAAGCAACCATACCAATATAATTCAAAAGAAAAGGTCACAGATAAAATCCACTGATAAAAATAAAACTCGTATTTTTTCTGATTTTTAAATTTATTAATTGCACCTTCATGATAGTTATCATATGAAAAAACATTTTTACCTTTTTTCTCGGAAAAATAAGGACATTCAGGTAGGGAAGCTAAATTTCATTAATCAGCTAAGCGAGTAGTCTTTGGCATTTCCATCCCCTATTCAGTTAGTCCATAAGGGGAACACTCCCTATCCCGCTGCTCCTCTCCTTTTGAAATGTACAGGAGGCACCCGCGAGTCTTGTGTATTTCAAAATGACAGACATAGCAGGTTCCCTGTCTCTCCCCCTTTGAAATGTACATGAGCCACCCTGCAGCTCTTGTATATTTCAAAGGGAGATACACAGTGGATTCCCGGCTTTTAAGCCGGCTCCCCCCAGCACTGGCTGTGCTCCCCCACCTTTCTACCTCTCTGAGGCAACTTCGTACAACACTTCAGGGATTCTTGTTAGAGTTGCAGCCTGTTAGACTGCCTGAAGAAGTTGTTGTAACTTAGTCCCCCATATCTGGGTTGTAATTTCTCACTGTATATTAGCAGCACAATAGAGGCTCTTACCCAAAAAGTGAAGAAAAGCTCTATGTAGCTTGTCTCTAAACAAAAATGGTTATCCAATAAGATATTGCCTCACCCACCTTATCTTGTGTAAAAACAAGGTATTTGCAAAGATATTTGTTTTATAAGCACGACACTGACCAATAACTTCCCACTGAATTTAGGTGTCACTATTTCCTCTAACATTCCCTTTCTTCCTCAGTCTCAGAAATTGAATTAAACTAATACCAGCAAAGACATTAACTCTGCCCTCTGCAACTCTGTTTAATTGAGGCTTGCACTTCCAAGCATGGGGCAAACTTTGTTTTTTGTATGAACAGTACAAACATTACTAAGCATGGACAATGTGAGGCCTTGTCTACACCCAAAATTTGAAACTTTTCTATCAAAACAGTTTTTAAAAGTGTTTTAGCTAAACCATTGAAAATTTCTCTCTGCCCCTCTCTGACAGGCAGAGCAAGTGGGGAGGAGGAGTGACTAGTCGAATTCCTACTCGACTACCTGATAAGCATTTGCTTAGCAGATAGCTGACTAGTCACTTACATCTCTACATTCCACCACCACTCCCATTCCCCCCCAAAAAAACAGACCACCTCCTAAAACAATCTATTAAAAACAAATTTTTCACAACATCCTAAAGATCTCTACATAGACTGATAGCAGTGTGGTTGTCAACAGTTATAAATATCACACAGTCACTTCTATAGATGCCTATTTTATTCTTAAGGCAAAAAAGTGGCTGCAGAGTAAACATTAAAAACAATAAAAGAACCTACGTGATTTCCAATAAGCTTACCAAAATTCACCCATCCTAAAATAGATTCTGGAGCAGTCTTCAAATTCCCATCCATGGGAATTACTGGGGTTGTAAATCCATCATAGCTTCATCCCAGAACAAGCACCCAGTTTGATGGGGCTTCACAAGGCCCAGCCCTTCCAACCCAATGCTAAGCATTGGGAGTCACTGTGCATCAGTGGTCATGGCCATTCGCTGAATAAGCAAGAAGGACCTGAGATCATTTTAAACTGGGTTATTTATCCAAAAAAATTTGGGGGGAGGGTTGTTGATTCTTGGATAAATCAGTTTTAACTAATTTATACACACACCCCTCTCCAAGGTTAGGGAGGAGGGCTTCAAAAGACTGATCATGTGGAAGCACATTAAAATCCCCCTCCTAGAAAAGATACATACAAATCCACAACACAAAGAGCAGTACTTTTAATAGAATGGACCTAAACAGTATTAACCCTAATTCAATAAGATCTAGCTTAATTCTGTGAAGTTCATCTTAATTCTATAAGGTTTACCCAAGACACTGGGTAACAAAATATTGTTAATCTTTCAGCGTGCACCTTGAGAATCTTTTCCCACCTGAAGGAGCCTTTAGGACTCCTTTAAGCTTCTATGGACGTTTTTTGATGGCATAAAGGGAACTGAAGCCATAGTGAGGATTTTGCCCACTACCTATTTTTATAAGCAACTAATTTTATAAGCTTTTTCTGCTGAGCCAGTGACTTTTTTCAGAATTAAATATAATCCTTGTTTATGACTAGTAAAAAAAAATATATTTTTTGGGGGGGGGGAGGAGGAGGGAAGAGGGATTCCTGTTCCAAAACAGACCAGCCACAATTTTACTCACTTGGAAGAATTAAAATCCATTAACTATTATTCTTATTCACACTGCAGCCAACCTGCCGTGTTATACATATTGGTGGCTCTAGTAGTAGAACATACAGAAGGACGGAGGAAGGGAGCTGAAGCTCCCTTCCCTCCTCCACCCCAATTCATCAGGGCACATTACTGGCTGTTCCCCATTGTCAGGGAGCAAGGGGAAAGTGCACAGTTTACTACATTCCTCACTCTGGCTGGGGAGCACAGGGGGCAGACAAACCTGGACCCGTCCCAGCCAGGGGACATGCACCCCTCACCCAGCTGAGCCTGCTGGAGCCATGGAGAGGTGTTTCTCACCTGGCCCCAAGCTGCTGTGGTGAGAGAGACTGAAGGAAAGGAAGGGAAGGAAAGGCAGACAGTGACTTCTCCCTGGGGCAGGATGGCCTGGAGGGTGGGGGGACAGAGGGTAAGAGGTGTACAGGCCATCATCCAACTTCTCCCTGGGGCTGGCACATGGAGACAGGGGACAGGCCATGTGGGAGGGCAGAGCCACACTGGCTTCTCCCAGGCTGGGCAAGCCAGAAAGCAGGGCTTCTCCCTGGGATGGACACATGAGGGACTGCACATCCCGCCCGCCCACCAGCCAGCTTTGGCCCGGGACAAGGCAGGGCAGGGCCGTATATCCTGCCTGCTGTCTTCTCCCAGGGCAAGGGGAAGCTGTCCCATGGCAAGGGGTGCCACATGTCTCACCCGCCAGTTCTGGCCTGAGGCAAGAAGAGCCACACCTCCCACCTGCTGGCTTTGGTCCAGGGCAAGGAGAGGACTGCACAAATTAAATTTTTAAAACTATGCTAACTCAAAATTAACATTACAGCAGTTTAAGTCCAATAATACAGAAGTTAAGCATCTAGAGTTAATGGTAACTTGTCAACAACTTATAAATAATATCCTGTTAGAGTACACATTTGGCCAGAGAAACAAGAAGAGAAAGAATGACTCATGAGCAATGTATTTAGGAACCTTACTTCTGTGTTTCCGCACTTTTTCTGATTTTGCTGTGTAAAAGAGTTTGACTACACAAAAGATATTCCCTATTATTGTCTATAGCACTAAGCAATGGCAAGTGGTGCTAAACACAGACAATATAGCAATCTATTCAGTGTTGGATTAGCTGTACCAGTTGTGAGCAACAACTGTTTATTTCTGTATTTGTAGTGGACACAAATACCACAGTAACAACTCTTTTCAAATAATTTTGTGGGGTGAGTTGGCGAGAGAGAGAGAGAGAGAGAGAGAGAGAAAAAAAAAAAGAAAAGAGAAAAGAGAAAAGAATTGCTTGTGGCCAACAATGTGAGAATTTAAATAGCCCGAATTACACTTTGATGTGCACACTTTAGTGTGCATGACTAGAAGTGGAGAAGGGCCAGTTCTACCACTAATACTGGTGGTTGGATGGAGACAGTTTTCTTACAGTTTAGACTGCAATGATTGTGAGTGAAATCCTGGCTATGCCAGAGTCAATAGCAGAGCCCCATATGGAGGAGGGAGCAAAATAGAAACAATTTATTTTTATGAATATTTAGAAATTACAGATTATTTCAACCGAAATCACTGAGACCATAAAATTTTGTGGAAATGGTGGCTTATTTGATCATCTTCTATTTTCTCCTCTTGTTGATATTAAGACAGTTCAATTGAGAATTTCATTGTGTGTGTTTTTAATGAGATGCTTAACATCTCCTTTATGTGGACTCAGATTCTAATAACCTTTTCTCGTAGTTTCTTGTTCTATAAAAAAATCACCTACATATGGCATATGGTGCTACTTAAACAGAGTAAGGTATCAGAATCCAGACTATGATGTATTCCCATCAGTCCCTGTTTTTCAGTCTGAAGAGAGAAAGAATGGGCAGAGATAAGAGAAAGCAAAGCCTTCATTTTGCTCTGTTAATAAATTTTAGAAGTTACTGTGGCAGGTTTGGAAGTTAAATTACTGTACTACCAATTTTGTTTCATGCTCAGAAGAAATATATTCTATATTATATAATTGTATGCATATGCACACACACACAAATCTTTTCTTCAAAACTAGGCACAAGCATTAATTTTCATTTAGGACTCTGACCATGTTGTTTCCGATTAAAATTCTGAACTATTTGTGTTGCAACTGTAAATAAATTTATGAGAACAAGTTTTTGCAAAATAAACAAATTTATTTATTTTCATTCTTTCGTAACTAAAAAGACATTCAGAGAGATTTGGCTCAACCTTTCTAAAAAAATTCACCTTTTGAACTGAAATGTTTTCTCTGTGCAAAGGTGAATATTTCTTAGAAGTTCTACACAAAAACAGGGCTGCAACAGGAAGACTTTTAGATTCTTAACTACAGAGTACACTGTCAGGCATCCACTATGAAAAATTTAAAAACTACTACTTTTCACCCCATAGTCATTACATATCTTTTATCTGACTTTTCCTTTAAAACAGACGGACTATACATAATATTTCCTAATCACTCTAAATTTTTGGCAGGAAATTAGGAAAAGTTCCCTTTGCACACCAAAAAGGAAACAGAATTGTAAATATATATGGCACTTCAAACTCAATTCTCATTTGTATTACATACGTAAAAGGGATAACAAATGTGAAAAGTTTGCTGAATTTTGTTGCTATTAAGTGATACAGTTCGAGCTATGCACAATACCTTTACTGTGACTGAAGGAACTGCCTCTGCTCTCACCTCACTGTCAATGGCTTGCTGTGAAGAAAAAAATGAAAACGGAGCAAATGCAGTATCACACATGAATGAGTGAATACAATGAATGCAATATTATCCTCCCACCACCAACTAGCTAAATAGAGAGTTAACTGTAAAGAACTTATCACTCTGATGACAGATTGAAATACACAAAATAGATTTCTGGGCCCCTTCTTTAGAAAAGACAAAATTCCTGTTTAAAACCGCCCACAAAAAGAATAAGCAATGGTTATGAGCATTTTGTATATAAAAGCCAATATACTTCATATATATAATTGAATATTTGAAACTGTTTTGTCTGGCCTGGACCCTTCTACTGTGATTTATTCAAATTGTGGGAACTCCTTGTGTTATTCAGTGAGGAGAGGCAACTTCCATATAGTATACACATCCACACCATAGTATATAATGCATAATTACCATACGCAATCTTATAATCAAAAAGCATACTGTATATGTCCTGTACATAAAAGACCGAAATAGAGAGTGGGAGGCTTTTTTATTGTGCTGCTTATTTCTATTTATATAAACCATCATGTCCACATCAATAATTAGCTTGACATACAGTAGGGTATTTTTACACACACACAAATCCCTACAAAACTAAACTATGCTAAAAGGTAATTATACCAGTATATATTACAAGAGATTATACCTTTCTGTGGTCAAAGATTAAATAAAACAATGCTTTCTGCTAGCATACACAAGATACACTGTTTGCTACTGTCCTATCCTCCTTCCCTCCCCATCCTAAGCATTAGGATTCACTAACAGTGTCCTTAGTGCATGTTCAGAATTCCAAAAAAAAGTAGTAGGGATCCCTCTCGCCTGGGATGTATACCCGGCGTACAAGACGACCCCCGATTTTTGGGGGATGGTTTTTAACATCAGAGGTCGTCTTGTACGCCGGAATATACGGTATATAAACCATCATGTCCACATCAATAATTAGCTTGACATACAGTAGGGTATTTTTACACACACACAAATCCCTACAAAACTAAACTATGCTAAAAGGTAATTATACCAGTATATATTACAAGAGATTATACCTTTCTGTGGTCAAAGATTAAATAAAACAATGCTTTCTGCTAGCATACACAAGATACACTGTTTGCTACTGTCCTATCCTCCTTCCCTCCCCATCCTAAGCATTAGGATTCACTAACAGTGTCCTTAGTGCATGTTCAGAATTTCAAAAAAAAAAAGTAGTAGGGATCCCTCTGGATGCAAGGATTCAAAAGGTGCTGGACTTCGATATGTTTCCAATTTTTCCTTCCCATTAGTTCCTTATTGCATTTCCATCCCATGTATTATACAGTAAGAAACACCATGAAATCTTTTTCCTCATGTGAAATTATACATATAATTGCCTCCAGATCCATGCTCAATATCATAGCTCTCTTTGAAGGAGATGGTTGAAGCAGATCAGTTTACATCCACAAGAATTAATTTATCAGTGCAACAACAGGACAATTTACTATTGACCTAAGGAATTACAAAGCTGCAAGGTTATCATCACAACTAGGCAAGATCAGGCTGACAGACTTTTGTCCTTTTTTGCACTAATAAATCTTTCCTATGGACAACTGCTAAGACAAAGAAACTAAAGGTAAATTGCTTATCTAACAAACAATAAAACAACTTTTATAAAGATGACAGTTATACTTTTAAATGAAAGTAAAGTATTAACATACAATTCCATTTATATTTTGCAAATGCTGTAGCAAGAAATCCCAGTAAACACTTTTAAAGCAATTCACGGCCAGAAATGGCTAGTTAACAGCTGTTTGGCATAGCATTGTTCATGTTCCAAAAGGTTTATATATTAAATTTTAGTGCAAAAAGTAAGACTGGACATAAGAGATTTCAGTAACCTGGAACACAACTACAATACAAAATGACCGATTTCTTTCTGTATATTTTAAACTACACTGCAGCATCCCAGAACTTAAAGCGGCAAAGGCCCACCAGTCCACCTTGCCAATCTCTCTGCCAAAGCAGGATCACTCCCTACAGGTATCTGCGAATGCTTTGCACAGTACAGTTTCAAATGATCCACATAATGGGATTTCTAGTGTTTCTCTATAGATTACTAAAAGTTTCTCTTCAGACTATTAACATACTGTAACAGAGCTCAACACCGGGAAATAATTCAAGAAACTCACCTTAAAATTTTATTTTACTCCGTTTCATCCCGTTTTTAAGGGTTAAGACAGAGAACCACACTAATTAGAACTATTAACCAAAGCATTTTGCAATGTATTGAGATCTTTGCATCAAATACAGTAAGATCTCTGTCAGTTACACAAGCAAACACATTAGTATGTCATGCATGTAACATGGTTTTAACTATATTTTTGGGGGTTGTATGCTATATAAGACAGAGTGTATAAAACAAACTGGGAAACTTGCCAAAATGAAAAGTTCTGTTTTCCTTTCTCTCCCCCCATTTTCTAATTATAAAAAATAAGTGAATAGTTATATTTGGCAATATTCTTCAATGCCTTATTCATATCTGTGGGAATGCAGATACAATTTACCAGTACTATTTTATTCAATAAGGATCCATATACATTAGTGCAGACCCTGTGTAATCAATCCCTCTACAACCAAAAAGGCGTGTTGACACATGAACATATTCAGTTTCTTCACATAAATACCACTCCTCAAAGCCTATCCATGATTCTTACCATCTGTAATTCAACATAAAAAAGTATCAATTCAAGCTACAAAAAGAATGCAACCCAAATAACCAGTGTATCATGACTACAAGCAACTTGAAATACTATTCAAATTGGTATTACAAAGACAGCCTTTCAAAATTATACTTGGCCTCTTGTCTGGGGCAAATCATATTTATTTATTCGCTTTTCTTATTACACTAGTAACAAGAAGGCTTTTTAAAGTTTCTTGCAATAAAAGGGAGGCAAGCAGAATTTGCACCTAGCCTCATGAACTCTTGAAGATTGGAAATACAATAACCTAATGTAAGTGAAATGGCAAAAAAAGAATTTAAAAACAAAATCACTGCATACTTTTATTAATTACAAAGTAACCAAAAATTACTAAAATGTTGGCAGTCATGTTCTATCCCCTGAATTGTCACTATATTACAAAAATGGTCTAGGATACACTTCCTATCTGGATTATGCTTAAATGGGCAAACACACCATGAAGGAACATGTGCTGAGGCTGGGAATTGGAAGCTATGAGCTTCGTAACAATGATTTGAAATCTAGAACCCTCTATTCATTGGTCAAGCCTTAACGAGGGGGTATGACTATCAGGAAGGCCAGGGCTATATAAAGCTCTTAGTAAGCAACTTGGGAGCTTAGAGAACGGGAGCAGTTAAAAGGAGTTTTGTAAGGGAGTTTAAAGGGAGCTAGGTACGCTTAGCATTCTTTAAAACTTTTAAACTAAACTAAACTCTAAACTACCTGATTTAAATTTTTAAAAAACTATCAATAATCTAATTATCTGTAGGAGAGAATGCAGGCAGAAGCCCTGCAGCAGAGTGGGGGCCATTCTGTTTATTGTACCCAATGTACAAGTATGATTACCTCCCCTATGGGCAGGTGTGTATGTGTACATTCCACGCAAAGAGCTCCTGGTCCTCAGACACCACAAACGGGTTTTGGAGGCCAGGGTGCCTGAATTGGAGGACCTAAGAAAGGCAGAGAGGTAGGTAGATGAGGCTTTCCCGGACACTGTAGAACTGTCCCACTTCCAGTCAGACAGCCTGTGTGCTGTTAAGGAGGGTGAAAGGCTCAGAGAAGGAGAATATTCAGCTGGAGCAGAGGGTAACCACCCCATAGTAGGAACCCTCCTTTCAGATGATATTGTGGTATCCTCTTGCACTAAGGATACCTCTCCAGAGGAGAGAACTACAGTCATTAGGAAAAGGCAGGTGTTAGCAACAGGGGATTCAATCATTAGAAATATAGACAGCTGGGTTTGTGATAAGAAATTGTTACTCACCTTGTGCAGTAACATCTGTTCTTCAAGATGCGTGTCCCCGTGGGTGCTCCACTGAACGTGTCGGGCTCGTCCCGGCGCCGCAAACTGGAGAGTTTTTGCCAGCAGTAGCCCCCTCCGGAGGACCGCGCATGCGCAGAAGTGCCTCGCGCCGTTCGCACTCTTTTCTGCGTTGAGCGGTCCGACGCGCCAGTTCCTCCTAGCCGGAACATCTGTAAGATACAAACATAAGAGTTCCGAAGCAGGGAGGAGGGCGGGTCATGGAGCACCCACGGGGACACACATCTCGAAGAACAAGGTGAGTAACAATTTCTTCTTCTTTGAGTTATATCCCCGTGGGTACTCCACTGAAGGTGAGTAGGAAGCAGTAGCCCAAACAGAGACGCCATGCTTCGGAATTATCTGTGCACAGAAGAGAGAACTGCTTGAGTAACTGCTATGTCTGTAGCCCTGAAGCGATCCAGGGCGTAATGCCTAGCAAACGTGGACGAAGATGACCAAGTAGACATGCTCCTGGTTGAGTATGCTTTTGGTCTACAGGGCAGGGGTCTGCCGCGGATGGTGTAACAGCGAGTGATGCAATTCACAATATGTGAGGAGATGCGCTGCGAGGAGATCTGTTGGCCTTTAGAGAGGGTTGCCAGGGATAGTAGTAGGCGTGAGGACTTTCAAAAAGAGCGCGTTCTGTCCAAGTAGAATGCAAGCGCTCTCCTGATGTCTAGTGTGTGCCAGCGTGCCTTCTCGGGGTTAGCGTGTGGTTTCGGAAAGAAAATGGGAAAAACCATGGGCTCGTTGATGTGGAATGGTGAATTGACTTTTGGCAAGAAGGCTGGGTGACAGCGTAATGTGACCCCCTGTTGGGTGAATAACGTATACGGAGGATTGGCAGAAAGTGCTCCGAGTTCAGAAACGCTGCGGGCTGACGTGATCGCCAGGAGAAAGGCAACCTTAGTGGTAAGAGTCTGCATGTCACAAGTTGCCAACGGTTCAAATGGTGGCCGAGTAAGAGTGTCCAGTACCAA